TTCAGGGGTTCAGGGGTTTTGGGTTTAGGGTTTACAATTACAGTATAAGGTGCGAGGGTTTGAGGGCTGGGGGCATCTTACCAAACGAAGGGTTCAATGAAGTCTCAAAGAGCTTCGGTGTGTTTGCTGCTGTTGCTGTAGGGTGTAGGCAGTTTCGGCTTTGGCTTGGAACCTGATACTATGTCGGATCCGCACAGTAAAGTGAGTCGCGCAGAAAAGGCTCGGCGGCGTACTCTTCAAACGGTTCATCTGATGTCCACTCCACGACTGGTCGAAATCTGACCCAACACACCCCCCAAATCCTAAACACTAAACCCCATGTCGGGATGTTTGCTCTCAGTGCAGTCCATTGTGGTTTCAGGGCTAGGAGTTTTGCGGCTGAGTCTCAAACCCTTCCCACTACCACATCGAACCCGAACTACTTCAGCAAGCTACATTCTTGACGGAACCTGCTTACCACTTAGGTGTTGAACTTCGAGTGCATGCAAGTAGTTAAGCTCTGAAGACGTTGTCAGCTTTTTCAATCTGAGTCCCGATGCCGAACATCTTGAAACTCAGCCCCAGCCACTCATTACGGCACTGGAGTTGCAAACTCCTGCGCTGTCATCGCTACAGCCGTACAGTAGGGGTTTAGGGGTTTAGGGGTTCAGGGTTTAGGGTTTAGGGTTTAGGGGTTTTCGGTTTAGGGGTTTTGGGTTTAGGGTTTACAATTACAGTATAAGGTGCGATACAGTAAGAGTGAGTTTGCAGATCCACGCGCTCCTCGTTGACATGGTCTTCTGCACGAGCAAACAAGCGTCGAGCCTGCCATGAAGGTTCGTCAATATGCTACATGAGAAACTGCACTTACATTTGGGTTTAGGGTTTAGGGTTTAGGGTTTAGGGTTTAGGGTTTAAGGGTTTAGGCTTTAGGGTTTAGGGTTTAGGGTTTGGGAAAGAGCTTTTTCCTTGCTTTTTACATAGAGCCCTTTGCTTGGGTATGCCATCGAATGTCTCCAAATATGCAACTGTTGGAGCCCCTCGTGGCCAAAACCAAAACCCAATTAAACTTCCCTAAACCCTTAAACCCTGAACCCCATTAAACTTCCCCAAACAATAAACCCAAAACCCTATCAAACTTCCCTAAACCCCAAACCCAAAACCCCATCAAGCCCCTTAATGAACCCTCCTGACAGTCATGCCCGACAGCTTGAGCCCTAGACCTCAATCTGAAACATTAACACCAACATAAGGGAGTCAAATTAAGTCACCATGATAGGGATCTATAGCAAATAATATGGTTTCTTTATTGTGGTAACTTAAATTTAATCCCCTAACAAGAATCCAGTGGAAGCCTGATTAATTACTATTTGCATTCCTTCAAGTTTTTCGTGTCATATATACCGATACCCACCAAAATCTCTGTTGTAATTGTTCAGGCCCCTGCATCAAACCTTCTGAAGGTATATCGGTAGTAGAGTATGTAGCATTTACTTGAGGATGGCAAATCACCAAATCAGACTAATGTACGGGTCATAGTAATTAGAATAGGGTTTTGGGCTCCTTTATAGTATATTTATAACAAGGAACCCTAAGAATAATACGGTTGATGGACAAAATCCTGCATGACCTTATATACCTAAACTATGGGATTTTATGGTACTATGCTATATTCGGGTCATGCAGGATTTTGTCCATCAACCGTATTGAACAAAAATTTAGGCCCCTACATTATTTCGGAGCAGGCTTCAGGTCCCTGAATTCGGCCGGAAACCTAAATGCGGACCTCTGAACCCTAAACCCTAAGCCCTAAACCTTAAACCCTAAACCCTAAACCCTAAACCTAAACCTGAAGCCTTAGGCCCAGCCTGCGCCACCGTGTCCTTGGCATCGAGATAGCACTGCTGCTGGCTTTGGCAGTCCTGGGGATAAGAGTGGGGTTTAAGATTAAAGTTTAGGCATTGAAGGCTAGCGGTTCAGGGCCCAAGGAGGGTTTGGAGTTTCAGATTTAAGGTTTCCCTAAACCCTAAATTCTACACCCTAAACTGCGATGGTCTAGGCTTGCACCGAGTCCGGCCAATTTCGGGCACACACCTGTCAAGTAAGCTTCGATGGGTTAAGGGCTCGGGCTCAGGCTTGTAGGGTTTAGTGAGATTCAAGGTTTTCGTGCTTAGGTTTGACTTCTATGGCTTAAAGTTGAAGAGGTGTGGCTTCTGAGTACCCTCGAACCCTATCCGAACCCCCAGCACCAAAATCTGCTTGAATGGTTGTAGGTAGTTTCCAGCAGGGATATGAGTGATTACCTGGGTCATTGCCGAAGGGCATCAATGCTCGCAACTTTAGCTGCCTCCTAGTGCAGATGGTAAAGTACACCTGAACCTTCAGGTAAATGACCTACCTGTCGTGAAAATGCTTAAACGGTGAATGGCTTGCGGTTTAAAGGCAAAGCCTATACCCTAAACCCTAAGCCCTGATGCAGGGCTGGAGGGTTCACCCTAAACCCTAAACCCTAAACCCTAAACCCTAAACCCTAAACCCTAAACCCTAAACCCTAACCTCCGTTGACAGTTCACAAGTGTTTGGCCCAAGGTTTCGGACTCGGGGTGCGGATTTCAAGGGCTCAGTGGGTTTAGGATTTATAGGGCTTAATGGGTTTAGGGTTTAGGGCTTAATGGGTGTGGGGTTTAGGGTTTTTGGGGCTTAAGGGGTCTAGGGTTTAGGGTTGAGGGTTGAATGGGTCTGCGCCTAGGGTTAGGCAAGGCTCTTGCAATCCTAACTTAGCAAAGGATTCGATCTCCGTTAACATTATGAGCTTGAGTCGCATGTGGCGCACGCATGATCCAAACTCATGGGTATATAACTCTTGCTCTGTCTGTCTTTGCATCTGGCATGTAAGCAGAAAGCCCAGGCGACCACAAAGATGACGAATCCATGGTTTAGGGTGGCTCCTTTTGGGGGTTCCTCTAAGGGTTCCTTAACGTTTGAGCATCAAGGGTTCCTTTCGAGGGTTCAGGGTGCACTGGCCCTGAGCACCGCACCGCAAGCAGCTGCAATGCGACTGCCTCGACACGGATGTGAAACTCATCGAAATCCACATGTGAGGCCATCGTGCTGCTTCCCTTTATAAAAACCCTGAAAATTATTAAAACCCCAACCCCAAAACCCTGATAAGACCCTGTAAAACCCTAAAATGTTAGGAACAACTTCCTTGATTGAGGAACCCCAAACCCTATAACCCTAAACCCTGAACCCTACAACCCCTAAACCTGAAACCCTAATGTCGGGGCCGCAATATTTACCAATACTATTTTTGTTTTTTTTTTTTGGGGGG